GAGCCGCAGGTCGCGGTCTCGCCGTCGGCGGGCGCCGCCGAGGCCGGCTGTCGGGCGACGGACGGCCCCGCGGAGGAGCCCTGCAACCCCTCGGCCACGCGCAGCAGCAGCGCGGCGAGCGAGCACGCGAGCGTCATCTTCGCCGACTTTGCGCCGGAGTTTGTCGCAGCGCCCGGCGGCCGCGCTCTGGACCGCCTGCTGTCCTGCGACAGCGATCAAGACGCCTACTACTCCGCCAGCGGCCCCAGCAAAACGGCACCCTTCTCCGCCCCTGCCTGCACGGCCGCCGACGCGGCTGCACCACGTGCGGCGGCGGCCGCAGCAGAGGCGGCGGCGGCCACTTGGTGCCCCGCGCTTTGCTACTGGGACGTGGCGGACAGCGCGGATGACCTGGCGCTCGGCGGCCCCAAGCGCTTTGTGCGCCACGACCAGGAGGATGTCGTGGATGTGGTTATGACCACCGCCGGCGCACGCGCGCGTGGCTGCTGCGCCGCGGCGCCGCCCGCCGGGCGGCGGCCCCGCTCCCGCGCCGCCGCCAGCGGCTCACTTGCTGCTGCTGCTGCTGCGGCGGCGGCAGCGCAGCGGCCCGGTGACATGGGCGCAGCAGTGGCGCCGCGCAGCGCAGCATGCGAGGGCGCGTGGGCTGTGCACGACGCGCTGACTGCCAACTCGGCAACCGGCAGCCCCACAGCCGCCATGGTGTCCGGCATGCAGGTGGGCGGGCCGCAGGGGCGTGTGGCTTCCTGTTGGCTGTTCCCCAGCCTGTTCCCCAGCCAGGTGCTCGCTACCTGTGTGCTGGCTTTGGTTGGCTATGGCGAGCTGACTCAGCGAACCACCTACTGATTCTGCCACGCCCCCCCCCACCTGCGCCGCCCTGCCACGCAGCGTTGTGAGTTCGGGGCCTCCCCCACCCTCCCGCCCGGCTGCTCCATGCCCGTGCGCGCGCCATCATGCCTCGCCCCCGGCGCCTGCTCCCCCCTGTCGCCGAGCCCCCTGCCGAGCTGGCAGCCGCAGCGGCGCCCCCTCGCGGCGCTGCCGATGCGCGCCGCGCCACAGCCGCAAGCCGAGGGTGGTGCCGAGCCCGAGGCCGAGGCTGGCGCGTGCGCGCTGCTGGCGGGTGCTTTCCCCTCGCGGCGCGCCGCGCGGGCCGCACAGGAGCAGGCGCCCGGGGCGCTTAAGGACGTGGCCGCCGCCGACGCCGCGGAGCTGCAGCAGCGCCCGCTGGCGCACGCGCGCCGGTCCGCGCGGCCGCTTTCGCTGCTGCGGCAGGGCGGCGACGCGGCGGCGGCGGCGGCGGCGGGCTACGCAAGCCAGGCGGCTCCTGGTGACCTGGCGTGTCCCGACCTCCCATCCGCGGACGCCGCCGCGGCGAACGACGGCGACAGCTCCGACGGCGGCGCCGGCAAGACCAAGAAGCGCCCCGCCTCGCGGCTGCTCACGCGCCCGCACGGCTGCGGCTGCGTCGTTTGCGGCGCCACGTCGACGCCGGTGTGGCGCACGGGGCCGCAGGGGCCCAAGACCCTGTGCAACCGCTGCGGCGTGCGGTTCTCCAAGATGTCGCGCCGCAAGTGAGGCGCGGGCGCCGGGATGCCCATGCTTCGCCCGCTGGTCCCGCGTGGGCTGCTTGCAGCCGGCTCGCTGGCTGGCTAGCTGGCTGGCAGCGGTCGAGGAGCTGGGGCTGACGGGGGCTGCATGGCCCACAGCTCAAATTTGACTCGCAAGCGCACTTTGAAACACGGCGCCTGGAATCGGCGCTCCGGCGATGGAGATTATGGGATGTGCGTTCCACTCGTTTCCCATGCACCGCGCGGCCTCACGTGCGCGCGCCCCTGGGGGGCTGCGTCCCCCGCATTTCATGTTGGAGCCGGCGGCGCCGCGTGCCGCCAGCCCGCCGCTGCAGCTGCATGGTCTCCTGCAGGCCACGGCGCCACGGCGCCCTCCGGACGTCCGCCACCGCAGCTTTCCCTGAAGCCAGGCCACCCGCCCCGGGTCGCGCAGCTGCGCAGCCGGCGGGGCCTCCGCAGAGCATCGCACCAACTGTCTCGCCCGTCATCCTTTGACTCGCGGCTCGCCCGGTTACCTTGGACATGGCGGCACCGACCCGCCGTCATGTGGAGTTGTTGCATAACCGTCCGATTGACCGGTGTCCGGCCCGCGCCCCCTGCGCCGGGCCGCGTGAATCAGCAGGGGCGCGCATTTTAATGGGCGCGGCGCTGCGGCGCCGCCGTATGAACCCCGCCTGCCAGCGGGCGCGCGCGCCCGGGAGCTCCCTCACTGTGGCTGTGGTTACGTCTATTTTGCACACCCTGCGTTCCCCCGTGGCGGCGAGTTGCACAGGGCCGGGCCCCAACGCCCGAGCCCGCTGACAGCGGCGCACCCTCCGTGCGGTGTGGTGTGGTTTGAGTGGCAGCGGGCCTCACCGCAGCACCAAGGGGCGGCCCGCGCCTGGGGCACCCTATTATCCATATTCTCGCCAGCGAGACGAAGAAAACGCAGCAGCAGGGGATCATTTGAGCCGCACTCGTGAGCCACCACCGCGCAAAAACAAAAAACGAAGATCGGGCGGGCTCCTCACCCGGCGCCGCCGCCGCGCGCGGCAGGCGGGACCCCCGCCGCTCCGCGCGCGCGGGCCCGGCGCTGCCTGCCTGCCCCTGCCTGTGGGGGGCCCCTCCCGGCCCCTTGCGCTGATGGGGCCGCCGAATCTGCTTGCATGTGCACGCGGGAGTGACTGGGGCCTGAGAAAAACCCCACATACACACACACACCATCATCATCGTTTGCTGCTATCACTGCGCCACGGGCTTTGGAAGAGCAGGGCGTGCGCGCGCCGGTTCTCGGCCAGCGCGCCCTCGCGCGGCGGCGCCCATCGATCGTAGTATTTTGTGCGTGACCCGGGCGCTCGACTCCCGTGCGCCTCTTGCGGCCCAAACAACACCCCGCACACGAGGAGTTGGGAGCGCGCGCCGGCGCTGTTGCTGCGAGCTGCGGCTGCTGTGAGCCGCGCGGCTGCCTGTGTAACGCTCTACAGCTGTGATTTCCCAACAACCACTCGCAATAGCAGACGTTGGCAGCATCGCCACTCCCCCCCAGTACCAACCTGAAGCTGCCTCGAGGTGTGAAAAGTTACAAGCTGGGTCGGGCCTGCGAGAGCCCCACACCATCCGCCGCACCCGCCCGCTCCACAACTCACTCCACTCCCTACGACCCAGCCGCCGCCCAGCCGCCAGCCCCCACCGCGCCGCCCCGGCCCGCCACCACCCTGCGCGCAACCCCTTCGGCCAGCTGCCGGCGCCGCGCGGCGGCCGCGTCAGGCGACGCAGTCGCTGGCGAACAGGAAGCGCGCCTCCAGCTCCCCATCCTCCGCCAGGTCAGTGCAGTGCACCGCGTTGCGCACGCGCCCCGCGCCGTGCCGCGCGCGCAGGCTGCCGGGCCGCAGCGCGCGCGCGATCTCGGGGTCGGCGGGGCCGCACAGCTGGCGCAGCAGCTCGACGGCGGCGCCGCCCGCGGGCGAGGCAACCTGGGAGCGCGGGGGTATCGGGCGGCGCGGCGCGTCAGTTGGCGCCCGGGCAGCACCCCGCCCATCATGCTGTCTGACTGCAGGGCTGCACCTGCC